CCTCTGCACTCACCCCTGCTCTCCTGCGTCCTCTGCACTCACCCCTGCACTCCTGCGACCTCTGCACTCACCCCTGCACTCCTGCGTCCTCTGCACTCACCCCTGCTCTCTTGCGTCCTGCACTCACCCCTGCTCTCCTGCCCTCAATTATGTCCCCGCAGATGCTGGATGAGAACCACCAGCTGATCCAGTGCATTCTGGACTACCAGAGCAAGGGCAAGACGGCCGAGTGCACTCAGTAAGTGCCCACCGCGCCCGTGGTTCCGTGGGAGATGGGCCTGTCAAGACCAGGACGGGTTCAGATCAGACCTTGCAGAGGCATTCACCCGCAAGTGGCATTTTCAGAGGCCCCCAGCGTGGAGATGGCCCCCCAAGGCCAGTGGGAGGACTGCTGTGCCTTGGGGGGGTCCATCTCCATTATCTGTGGTGCTGGCTCCTCCCAGCCCCCCTCAGGGTTATCTAAGCTGCCCTCCACCTCTGCCTTCAGCCTTGTACGTAGGTGACCTCGGGCTCCATCCCTGTGCCCTGGGGCAGCCTGTGACCATAGTGCCTTGATGTCCCACCCCCGCAGATACCAGCAGATCTTGCACCGCAACCTGGTGTACCTGGCCACGATCGCCGACTCCAATCAGAACATGCAGTCCCTGCTGCCCGCCGTGAGTGTCCACAGCACCCGAGAGCGGAGGGGAGGAGTCCACCAGAAGGGCTGCTGGCATGTGACCGTCACTGCAGTGCCAAGGTCCCCTGATGGACCTCAGACCCCCATCAGCAGAAAGTCTCGGGGGTCAGCAGGAGATGTGGGCCGAGCAGTGGACAGACCAGGGACAGGTGGCCCACTTGCACCCTGGGGAGTCGGTACCAAGGCTCCAAACAGCCTATGTGTAGTCCTGGAGATGTGGAGAGGGGGTCACAGGGAGCCGGCCGGGCAGCTGGCTTGTCACCAGGAGTAGGGCTGTGTGGGCACCCAGGTTGAGATACATCTGCCATGAGTCTGTGGGTTTGTCCGGAGGTGTCCTGGCTCTCTGGGCTCCTCCGCTCACCTCTGACGGCAAAGACTGGATGTCAGGGAGCTGCGGCCTGTGGGGCAGGTGACCTGGCAGCCTCTCGGGCAGACTGGCAGCTGCCTCTCCTCTGCAGCCACCCACGCAGAACATAAACCTGGGCCCAGGAGGGCTGGCACAGAGCGGCTCCGGCCAGGGCCTGCACTCCCAGAGTGGCCTTGGGGACAGCATCGGTGCAGCACTGCCCCCCACCTCCCTCATGCAAGGCCAGATCGGCAATGGTGAGTACGTGGGGGCCAGCTCTGTGGTGTCCTACCTTGACTGAGGGGAGGCTCCCTTCCCCATCCGGATGCTCAGAGGCCACCTCCCACGAATACACTGTGTCCACATGGACTTTCTGGCTGATTCTGATGTCCTCTCCCCAAGTGTGAGGATTAGAACCTAAAACCCTGACTCCAGGGATTTGCACAGCTCTGGCCTTCAGGAAGCCAGCCTCGGGGCATGGCCTCAGGATGGGACCTTGAGGTGGGGCCTCTGAGTGGGTCCAGTGCCACCTCTAGTTACTAGGCCAGTCCTTGACTCATGGGCTGTCCAGGTCTCCTGTTGATTCTCTCACAAGAGTCTGTCACTGCTCTCGTCTCTGTGAGACCTGTGGGCACAGCTGACTGTCATAAGTTGGGTTGAAAAATCATGAGGACAGTTGACCGTGACACACGGAGTTGACACTGGACACGCTGTTTTCCATCCAGTTCTGCGTTGACAGTTGTAGGCATGGTTGATGTCGCACATTGAGGTTATGACCAGCACACATGGGGTTGACACACACTCAGGTGACCATCGCGCGTTGGGGTCGACACCCCAGCTGTGGGCATAGGTGACCACGTGTTTGAATTGACACCCCTGGGTGTGGTTGACTACTGCTTACTGGGGTTGACACCTCTGGGTACAGATAACGGTCATACTGGGTTGCGTGATTGACCAAAGTATTGGGATTGGCACATTGGAGTTGATGTCAGTGGGCACAGCTGATTGACCCATTGGGTTGACACTCAAGGGCACGGTCCACCACCATGTATTGGGGAGACACCCCAGCACGGTCCACCACCACATATTGGGGCGACACCCCGGCATGGTTGACTGGTCGCTGGTGTTCCTATGTTTATTCCTCTGTCAGTGACATGGTCATTCACTGAACTGGTGTCAGCAGCTCCTGGCCATCTCACCCATCACTCCCAACAGGTCCGAACCATGGGTCCCTGCAGCCGACAGCACAGAGCACACTGCCCACTACTTCCATGAGCATGTCCAGCGGCAGCCACAGCTCAGGGCCTGGATACAGCCATGCGGGGCCCACCTCACAGAGTGTACCACTGCAGGGCCAGGGCACCATTGGCAACTACGTGTCTCGGACCAACATCAACATGCAGTCCAACCCAGGTACCTGGACTCTCCACTCCCACGCCCCGGGACGGCAGTGTCTCCAGCTGTGGGGGGCAGTGAACGTGGGTTGACTGACCTCAGAGATCAGAGGTGAGGGTGCACATCACAAAGAGGTCAAGTTTGTAGGTTACAGATCAGGGGTTAGGGTTGAAGGTCACATGAAAGTTGGGGTGGGGACTGTAGGTCACAAAAGGTCAAGGAGAAGGACTGCAGCCCACAGAGAGGTCAAGGGCGAGGGTTGCAGATCACATGGAAGTCAAGAGTGAAGGCTGCAAGTCACAGAAAGGTCGAGAGGTACC